CGCCACCACCACCACCGCCACCACCGCCACCACCGCCACCACCGCTTTGCAACGTGGACTGACCTTGTATCGTGTAGGACGTGCAGACGAGGATGTCGATGAATAGCCATCGATGGTGATGAACAACCGTTGATGTGCCGAGATGTTGTCGTGGGATCGAGCCGGCGACCGCGGCTCCGACTGCGGCTCCCACATGGTGACAGAGATAGCACGATGATACAGCACAACGAAGCACGACGAGCCGAGACATGGCTAGTGGGGTGCGCGGTCTCAATGGAAATAAAAAAACGCGGTACACGACCCAGCGAACACGACCGACCGCGCAAACCGTCCCGCGGGTCAGGTTGTGTTGCGCATCACACTTCGGTGCGTGTTGTGATTCTATTCCTTGCTATTCTTGCTATCGTTTCTACTCACTGCTATTCGTCGTTTCTATTCATTGCTACTGCTTTGCAACGTGGACTGACCTTGTATCGTGTAGGACGTGCAGACGAGGATGGTGATGAATAGCCATCGATGGCGATGAACAACCGTTGATGTGCCGAGATATTGTCGTCTGGCGAAAATCAGTTAGCGAGCCGATGCATGTAAAGAGGCCAGCTTCGCGAAATACCGCGCAGCTTATGTCAGCAGCGCAACTAGTCTACAACCGCCAGCTTTAAAGCAACCGTATCTGAAAATAAGTAAACCGGATGCGTATATATGCGGTGCAATTATATTGTAGCGAGCCAACATCCATGAACAAAACAGCTTCACAAAATGCCGTACAGCCTACACGGACAACGTTGGACAAGCACTGCACAGTTCAGTGCGCGTCAAATTGCGCGTTGAATTGCATGTTTAATTGCACGTCGAGTTGTGTGGTGGGTTGCACGTTAAAATGCGCGAGTCGGCGCATGTCAAATTGCGCAGTGCGGTGCAGCCAATGTTTTGCGATTTGCGTGTTAAATCGTGGTGCGGTACGGTGCAGTGCGGTGCGGTGCGGTAAGCGGTCCCGAACGAAAAAACAAAAAAAGACTCACGCACCGGGATCGAGCCGGCGACCGCGGTTCCCATTCAGTGTCGGAGCTCGCGCACACCACAAGCGGTGAGCGCCGATGCTTCGGGGCGCATTGCGCGGGTCCAGGTGTGGTGCAGTGCGATGCACTGCCACACGCAGTGTGGCGCGGTGCGGTGCAACGCGGTGCAGTGCGGTGCGGCGCGGACACCGAAGCGGTGCACGGCGATGCTCAGGGGCGCATTGCGCGGGCCCAGGCGTGGAGCAGTGCAGTCCGGGACGACGCGGTGTGCAGTGCACGGTCCAGAACGAAAAGAAATGAACAATAAACGACGACGACGCGAAAAACGAACCACGCGACGACGAAGGCAGCGCTCCCGAACGAAAAATATAAGAAAGCGGGCGCCGGGCGACGAAGCCAGCGAGCCGCAACGTAAACGTAAAAAAAAAGACACAACGACACGCGGACGCCCCCCGCAGCCTAAGGTCTCCGTCCCGACGACGGAACGACTAAACGTCGTCCGTCTAACGTCGGGACTACGACGCGCGTTGCACGGGCCCAGGTGTGGCACGGTGCGGTGCAGTCCGTAGCGCACGAACGCAGGAAGACGTACGGCTTGCGGTGCGGTGCGCTGCATAACGAAAAGAAAAAAAACGACAACGACGGGAAGCGACCGGCGAGGTGGACTCCCGCGGCGACGAAGCTAGCGCTCCCGAACGAAAAACACAAAAGAAAGACGCGCGGGCGCCGGGATCGAGCCGGCGACCGCGGCCCCCACACAGCGACAGAGCCAGCGCGCACCACGAAGCGGTGCGCGGCGATGCTCCGGAGCGCATTGCGCGGGCCCAGGTGTGGTGCGGTGCGATGCGGTGTGATGCGGCACGGTGCGGTGCGGTGCGAAAAAACGAAAAAAAGCGACGACGACGGGACGCGAACCGGCGACCGCGGCTCCCACACGGCGACGGAGCTAGCGAAAACGACGCAGCTCCGAAACCGCGCACGACACGGCGAAAAAGGGCGACTCTCCAGAAATTCCGAACAGACACGCGGACGCCCCCCGCAGCCTAAGGTCTCCGTCCCGACGACGGAACGACTAAACGTCGTCCGTCTAACGTCGGGACTACGACGCGCGTTGCACGGGCCCAGGTGTGGCACGGTGCGGTGCAGTCCGTAGCGCACGAACGCAGGAAGACGTACGGCTTGCGGTGCGGTGCGCTGCATAACGAAAAGAAAAAAAACGACAACGACGGGAAGCGACCGGCGAGGTGGACTCCCGCGGCGACGAAGCTAGCGCTCCCGAACGAAAAACACAAAAGAAAGACGCGCGGGCGCCGGGATCGAGCCGGCGACCGCGGCCCCCACACAGCGACAGAGCCAGCGCGCACCACGAAGCGGTGCGCGGCGATGCTCCGGAGCGCATTGCGCGGGCCCAGGTGTGGTGCGGTGCGATGCGGTGTGATGCGGCACGGTGCGGTGCGGTGCGAAAAAACGAAAAAAAGCGACGACGACGGGACGCGAACCGGCGACCGCGGCTCCCACACGGCGACGGAGCTAGCGAAAACGACGCAGCTCCGAAACCGCGCACGACACGGCGAAAAAGGGCGACTCTCCAGAAATTCCGAACAGACACGCGGACGCCCCCCGCAGCCTAAGGTCTCCGTCCCGACGACGGAACGACTAAACGTCGTCCGTCTAACGTCGGGACTACGACTACAGACAGAAAGTTGGGGTAAGGTCTCCGTCCCGACGACGGAACGACTAAACGTCGTCCGTCTAACGTCGGGACTACGACTACGTAAAGTTGGGGTAAGGTCTCCGTCCCGACGACGGAACGACTAAACGTCGTCCGTCTAACGTCGGGACTACGACTATGAGCTACGGCGATAACACATAAGAAATGGGGACCTGCAATTCATTCATGCAAAAAATGTAATAATGTAGCTGGCCGCTCGTCGCTGGCCGCCGATTGGAATGCTGGAATAAAAAAATACCCTGTGTTAGTGCATGTATGCCTTGAGGGGGTAGTAGCCGGCCCAGGCCGAAAAGGCCTCTCGAGATGCGAGGAACATGTGCTCCAGTGCGTATTTATGTATGTTTTCGCGGGAAGCCTTCGTTGCAAAAAGGAAACATATATAGCTGGCAAGCAATGAAAACAGGGCCGGGTGTGGGTGCACTCCCCCGAAGCGACAACTAGGCCTGCAGACCAACTGCTTCAGGGCGGTAGTACCCAAACACCCGAAGTAACCAGCACAACCACGCACGCAAGTCCATGCAAATCGTACAGCGGCACTCCCAATTCACAGGAAACCTTAGTTTTCTCGACGCTTCGCTTACAAAGCTATGAGATTGTGTGAAGAAGGGGGCAATAGTTTCATCCGTGGCCACCACTAGCCTGGCAGTGTTTACCTTCCCGGGTGTGTTTGGGTGCACCCTCATGCTTCTGACCCATGCCGACTTCTGAAACGTCAGTGGCATTTTCGGGTCCAGCACGCACCATCAGCACATCCGGTGGAATCTGTGCCTGGAATCAACGGCGGCAGCAGCAAGTTACCACTCCGGGTCGGCTTTTGCAGGTGTGTCACTACACCAGTGGTTCCATCATCTCGGCCATCAGCAATGGAATCGATTGGCATCCATCCAGCCTCTTCTGTTCAAGAATCTGTCCCGGGATCACTTCCAAAAGAGCCTTCCCGGGACAGCACACTCTGTACCTTCCTTCCTTATCACCTTCCCCAGCATAAAGCCTGTCGTGTTTCAATGGGTTGAGTGCACGTGCACACAGTAATAGTTCTGTCCGTTGGAGTCGGAGGGCATCGATCCCCCTACCTCCCGCACATTATCTGCGGTGCTCAGCATCGCATGCTAAGCGGGCGCTCTACCATTTGAGCTACGACCCCTCACCTCTCTGCGCTCGATGACGGGATCGAACCGTCGACCTTACGGTTAACAGCCGTGCGCTCTACCGACTGAGCTAACCGAGCAGGTCTGGCAGATGGATGTACGGCAGCAGCAAGCATACGCGTTCGACGCCACATGCCGTACTGTACGAGTGCTACGGCTGAAGCTGTGCACCGTGCCGTACGACAAACTAGACGCGGGCTGCTTCGCCCGCGAGGGGGCCGTAGTCCCCCGGCTGGGCGGCACGAGTACGACGGTCCGTGCGTATACTTCTACACCCGTGTGGGAGTCGAACCCACAAGTGCAAGGGATGCACCCAGCCGTGCGGGCGTGTCGTCGGACGGCTAGAGAGCCGTGCAACACTGGCATTTAACGCCGTCCAGTGGCGAGGGTCCTGCATGGAAGCGGCCATGGACTGCAAAGTGTACGTAGGAGTGAAAACACACGGTAGCGGCGTTCCGGAATCAAGAACGTACCTGTCGAATGTGGCAAAGTAGCAGAGGCCCCCAGACGAGGTGTGCGATCCCGCTTCCAACGGCGCTCGCATGCTGGATAGGGTATGGCTGGTGGAGAGGAAGGGCCCGAGCGGGGACTCGGACAGCAGCATCGTCAAACAGATTCTGAGCCTGCACAGGCTGAGGAAAGACGACACCGCTGTCCGCGTCCCACTCGGCTCCTTCATCTCCACCAACCATAGCCTATAGAGCAAGCACACAGCAGACCCGGAAGGTGTGGACCCGAGCCTTACCGGGTTACTGACTTGGTACGACTCGGATCCAGAAGGGCCGCATAGCAGTCACCCGCAAGTGTGTGTGCCCGTGTACCTGTGCGTAGGTGCGGGTGTTACACGTTTCACCTCGAAGTTGGATGCGATGGTGTAAGCGCTGCATTCCAAGCCGCTCAGCTCCACACCACGTTGCGTGTAGTTCTGTACAACGTTGGCGAGGGTGTAGTCGCCATGTTCGTCCGCCGGCTGTAAATTACGAAAGCCGGTGGCTGTAGACTAGTTGGTGGTGCCGCCAATGTAAGCTGCGACTTAAGACGGCTTCCGTCAGTTATGGCAGACACACCGAATGATTTACCCCAGCGGCCCGGAACTCGCGGTCGCGAGCGCCTAGGTACACTTGCTGGCGGTTTTCATACATTCGGGCAAGCAGCATCAAGTCACCGCTGAACTGCGCCCGTGGCACCCTCCGTACGAGGTGGCTGCAATACGAGGCGAACGACATACCCGGCGGTGCGTGCGGTTGGCATTAGGGTGAGATGCAAGTATGCCGTACAATATGTGCAGATGCGTGCGTCGCAGGAATGCAGGAACACCGATGCATGTGCGGCAGGGGAGATATTGCTGCCACATTGTGTGGCCGTGTTGGTGTTCGGTGCGTTGGTCATCATGGCGGCAGAGGCGGCTGGACAGCACACCTGGGCTGCCAGCGTCATGGCGGCGGTGGCGGCTGGGCAGGATCGTCTGCTGCAGCAGTTTAGGCGCACGGCTTGCTTTTGGTTTGATATCTTCGTAGGCCAGGAATGCCGAGGAATGCATGACATACGAAGATATCACACCGATGTGATATTTTCGTACGCCAGTAATATTCCGGCATTCATGGCATATGGAGATATCAAACCGAAGGCGAGCCGTGGAGGTGAACTGCTACAGTGGACGATCTTGCCCAGCCGCCACCGCCGCCATGACGCTGGCAACGATGCTCACGACCAACACACCGAACACCAACACGGCCAAGCAACGTGGCAGCAATAGGTGGTGTGCACCGCATCGGAAGGTGTGCATCGGAAGGTGTGGACCCGAGCCTTACCGGGTTACTGACTCGGTATGACTCGGATCCAGAAGGGCTGCATAGCAGTCACCCGCAAGTGTGTGTGCCCGTGTAACTGTGGGTGGTGTCGGGGGGGGGAGTTTCGTGTGCATAGGTTGCATACCATAATAACACCACCGGCGAGCAAAGTCCAAAAGCCACAAAAATGGATACGGTGGTGCATGCGGTTGGCATTAGGGTGAGATGTAAGTACGCCGTACAATACGTGCAGATGCGTGCGTCGCAGGAATGCAGGAATGCTATGCAATGACCGTTGGTAGACAGTTTGTTACCGTCACAGTCATCACCACTCGACAGGAGAGAATTACATCGCGCATGCATTTAACAGCAGCATGGATATATGAATATAGTCACACTGCAATGCACCTACCACTGGATGTAGTTAATTGCTAAGGGCAGCAGCAGCCAGAGTGGCGGCCACGATGCACGTGCGGCAGGGGAGATATTGCTGCCACGTTGTTCGGTGCGTTGGTCATCATGGGCAGGATCGTTTGCTCCAGCAGTTTAGGCGCACGGCTTGCTTTTGGTTTGATACCTTCGTAGGCCATGAATGCCGAGGAATGCATGATATACGAAGATATCACACCGATGTGATATTTCCGTACACCAGTAATATCTGGGCATTCATGGTCTATGAAGACCGTCGCACTACGCTAGACTAGACCGCTGCCACCATGACATTGGCAACGATGCTCACGACCAACACGCCGAACACCAACACGGCCAACCAACGTGGCAGCAATAGGTGGTGTGTACCGCCCAGCCGCCATGACCGGGAGTCTGGCCGCCGCTCCTTCACCTCCAGTTGGAAGCCGCCTCCAAGTCGAGGCGGCGGCATGAGTACAACGGGCAACAGTGCAGGTACCACCGCCTCAACAAGTAAGCAAAGTAGTGCAGTTAAAAGCGCATGGAGCAGGAACACTCGTGCTGTCCGGCGAGGCAGTGGTGTTATCATGGTACGGTAGCGATGCAGCACGTCATATGTACACACACAGCACTACACCGGGCTACACCACACCGGCCTGCTATCCAGTCGTTCTGGATCAAAGTCATACCTGGTCAGTAACCCGGTAAGACGCGGACCTGGAAGGTGTGGACCCGAGTCTTACCGGGTTACTGACCCGGTACGACTTGGATCCAGAAGGACCGCATAGCAGCCAGCAGTGCGTGTGCCCGTGTGAGTGTGTGTGGTGTCGGGGGGGGAGTTTTGCGTGCACCGGTAGCGTACCATAATAACACCACCGGCTCAGCGGTTAAATAGCTATGTGACGACACCGCTGTTGGTCTACCACGTAGGCATTGTTATGTACGATTGCAAAGTGTATGTAGGCTTGCCGGTGTATGCCATGACATGCGCCGACGCATCACCTGTTATGCCCTGTCATCGTGTTGAACCCCGACCAACGAAATCGTAGAATCGCCTGCAGCAGCGTCGGAGACTGTAGACCTTGTGCCGGTCCTAGAATTTCGAGGGTCGTGGTTCGAGACGAAGACAGTGACAGGGCAGAACATAAGAGAGGAAGTTATGCGTCGGCGTATGTCAGGGCAGAAATGAAGGTGTATTGAAGAGCGCACGGAGCATGAACGTGTGCACTGTCCGCTGAGGCAGTGGTGTTATCATTATTAAATTATTATACATGTTTTATACAGTCTTAATATTAAATACAGTCTCCAGCTGCGTCGGGGACTGTATAGCCTGTGCCGGTCGTACAATTTCGAGGGTCGTGGTTCAAGACGATGACAGTAACAGGGCATAACATAAGAGAGGAGGTAATGTGTCGGCGTATATAAGGGCACAAATGACGGTGCATTCAAAAGCGTACGGAGCACGAACGTTTGCGCTATCCGCTGAGGCAGTGGTGTTATTATGGTACGGGACTGATGCAGTGCATCACATATACACCACACCGGGCTACACCACACCGACCTGCTGTCCAGTCGTTCTGGATCAAAGTCACACCGGGTCAGTAACCCGGTAAGACGCGGACCCGGACGGTGTGGACCCGAGTCTTACCGGGTTACTGACCCGGTATGACTTGGATGCAGAAGGACCGCATAGCAGCCAGCCGCAGGTGTGCGTGCCCGTGTGAGTGTGTGTGGTGTCGGGGGGGGGGAGGGAGTTTTGCGTGCATCGGTAGCGTACCATAATAATACCACGTGTTGGTCGCGAGCATCATTGTCATCATGGCGGCGGCGGGCCTTTGATATGCATGTGCGAATCGGGCCTTCCGTCTAGACCAAACAGAGTGTATCCGCTAGGCCCATGTGGACACATACGCACCTGCCATACACACTAGAGCCGCTGCAGGCAAGATGCATTTCGAACGGATGGACGAGCGGTAAGATCCGGGGTTCCGGATGTGTTAGCGAAGGGGACTGCAGACACACGGCAGCGGCAATCCGGAAGGGATGACAGACAGTCAGATGGTCAGACGGAATAGCGTGGGTGCAATCATACGGGCAACATGGAGTGACATGGGGGCGGGTACTAGTACGGTCACGATAACGTAGGCGAAGGAGGACCGAGAGGGGGCGGAGGTTGGACTGGGAACATACCTGTCGAGTGCATGGTGAATGGCAGAAGCCGTGGTGCCTGCATGGTCGTGCGATCGGCAGCAGCCAGCACTGCCGCATAGGCGACAGGACGGTGTACTGGCACGACATCCGTCGTGGCGACGTGCTGCTGTGGCGCTCGTACGTCGCGTCCGTGTGTTACTAGGGCTCTCGTTGTCGACCAAGCAGAGCCTATACCGCATGACCTGCCATGGGTGGACAGCGGTGACAACATGTTAGAAAGGAACGGGATATATACAATACACAAACGGCTGGAAACGTGTGTTAGTGCAGGGGACTGCAGACACACGGCAGCGGCAATCCGGAAGGGAGGTTAGACAGTCAGACGGTCAGACGGAATAGCGCAGGTGCAATCATACGGGCAACACGGAGTGACATGGGGGCGGATACTAGTACGGTCCGGGAACATACCTGCCGAGTGCATGGTGAATGGCAGAAGCCGTGGTGCCTGCATGGTCGCGCGATCGGCAGCAGCCAGCACCGCCACATGTGTGAATTCGTATATGTGCATATGTGCATATCAAGCATATGAAGCATATGAAGCATACGAAGGATATGTGCATGTGCACGTATGGTGAAGCGCGTGTGTTGAAGTTTGCACGTTGAAGTTTGCGAGCTGCTATCGGTGGACAGCGGTGACAACATGTTAGAAAGGAACGGGATATATACAATACACAAACGGCCGGAAACGGTGAAGGCAGTGGTACCGGAATTGGTACAAATCGCACCATAGCAGCGTACGTGGGGTATCACAGCTGCCAACACTGGATACACGACCGCCATGTGGAAATAGAGAGTGGCGGTGAAGAGCTGCCGAAGGGTGTCGAAGCGTCATTATGATGTCCTTACGAAGAGGCCTGAAGGCACGCTAATGTGATCACATATGTACCTGCCATATACGCCAGAGCCGCTTCAGGCAATAGGCATTTCGAACGGACGGACGAGCGGTAAGATCGACGGATGGGGCCCTGTATGTGTAGAAGGAGAATGCTGACACACGGCAGCGGCAATCCGGAAGGAATGACAGACAGTCAGACGGTCAGACGGAATAGTGTGGGTGCAATCATACAGGCAACACGGAGTGACAGGGGGCCGTGTATTTATAATTTAGACATAAGACTGCGCGGGCAGTGCATCGTACCGCACCACATCTGATGCGCTGACACATATGGACGCCAACTCGTCGCACACTTACCGCGCGCGATGGAGACCTTGCAGGAAATGCTCGGTATGGAAATGTTCGGCAACAGGAACCACGACGCACGCAAATCTGCAATGCATTGCAGCGGCGATGCGTCACGGTCGTGCGGAGGCAGGGCCGGATATCGCGACAACTCGCTATGTCGGAATAGTAAATAAGATAAATAATAAACAGCAAGATGAACACCGGCAATACAGACTAATTATCGCGGCCGTGTACCACTTGCATAGGCACGCAATATATGTACATCTCATAAATAGCAACGCAAAACATGTACAAGGAGAACTGACATAAAATAGTTTGCGTGTGCACAAGAAGAAACGACACCAAAGTTGCCGTACATATCTTAACACGACGTGATACCGCGGACATCGTGCACTACGGCACGAACGCACATAGACGCGGCCTGGCCGCACACTTACTGTGCCTACCGAAGATGTCTCAAAAGTAGTCTCAAAAGTAGCATGGGCAGTGTCCGGAGTAGTTGCCGTAACGCACGCAAACCTGCAATACAACGCAACGGTGATGCGGCACTGTTTTCCGGAAACACCACCGCAACTCACAACGACGAGTCGCTATGTCGCAGTAAAGGACGTATGTAAATAAAAACGAGAACCGACACAGAACGAGCTAATGCAAAACAATGTATGTCGTACACTTGCCGACACGGTGTGGTGCGACGGACAAGTGGTAATGTGCCGACGCACATACATGTGGGTTGCATCATAACGCACACTTACCGCGCCTACTGGAAGCCACCGAAGAGAACAGCACGAAGGCTTGCCGGAGCAGCAGCTTCAACGCATGCTAAGCGGGCGCTCTACCATTTGAGCTACGACCCCTGCACATCCTCACCTCTCTGCGCTCGATGACGGGATCGAACCGTCGACCTTACGGTTAACAGCCGTGCGCTCTACCGACTGAGCTAACCGAGCAGGTCTGGCAGATGGATGTACGGCAGCAGCAAGCATACGCGTTGCACGCCACATGCCGTACTGTACGACTGCTACGGCTGAAGCTGTGCACCGTGCCGTACGACAAAAGAACAGAAAAAATGCGATGCGATACACGTTGATACAACCTACTGCATACCAAGGCGCAGGTAATGCGTCAGCAACCAGCTGCAAACAGGGCTCTATAGGAGGGTAGGATCCGGGCTGGAATTAGGGAGGAGCTCTGTCGCAGAATTAGCCTGGATTTTATTCCTGACAAAAGAATAGGTCTGCCGAGGTCTGGAATTGTTCTGGCGGACTCGCCGGAGGTATTCGAATTGCGCTGTGGAGCCTCGGAATTGGGCTGTGCTGGGCCTGAATTGGCCTGTCCGGGTGTCGAATTGGCCTGTCCGGGTGCCGAATTGGCCTAACAGGGTATTGAATTAGCCTGACAGGGTATCGAATTGACCTGTTCGGGGTGTCAAATTGGCCTGACAGGGTATCGAATTAGCGTGTTCAGGGTGTCGAATTGGCTGTCAAGTTGGCAGGATTGGCTCGGGCTGGCATCCAAAAGCACATGACTTTTAAGGAATTTACAAAAAACTTTGCAAGAGGACCGCTTACAAGTGCCTCATGTGCGTATTAGTTTCGATCCCACGACATGGAGTGGGAAAACTTGCACACCTGGTTACCGTACTCTGGCACTACTAGTACTACCGGAGGCAAGCACTCAGGGCCATGACTGCATTACCCAGTCAAGTCAGCCGCCGAGGTCCCACTGTTTTCCCACCACACTTCATCGGCACTTCATCCAGTTTATCCCACAACACTCGTATGCATGAATAGGTTCGGGTGGAAACAATGACAAATCTCTGATACACCGCTAAACTCAGTACCACGAGCTACATTGAAAACAAATGAAAATGCAGATGTCTGCCGAGAAGAATATGTTCGCCATATGCAATCTATGCCTTAATCCATCGAGCTCTCCGTTGGGCGGGGCATGGCCCATGAAGTCGCCCCCGGTATTCCGCCCATGCAACCAAACACTGACACAAAAAGTTGCACGCCTGGGCCCATGTAAACCACGACACTTCCGTGTGGATTGGCTACCCGCGCTCCCCATGTCAGGGGTCCTCCCTCCTGCTGTTGACTCCCGGATTGCCCACGCACAAACGCCAAACGTTGGCGCAGAAAACAGACAGGCCATTGTAGTATGGCATCAAACCACGCATAATCCACAGCGGCTTTCAGCAGCAGTACTGCTTGGTGAATGCGACCGGCCGTGTACTGCCAGTCTTAGCACCGATGAACCACCCCCTGATGCCGCCGCTGATGCAGCATGCATATGGGTCTACACCGCCAAGCTCTGACCAGTTTGTTTTGAACTCGCCTATACAGGGTTGTAAAACAAGGGGGGCATATCTGTTGTCATATGGTATGATGTTTCATAGACGTCGGTATGTATAACATTATGCAATTGGGTAGGTGGGGTGAGGTGGGTTCCTCCTTTCTAGGTTGCCCACTCTTCCCTACCACACATCTCATGTCGCCACTTACCAGTAGCACCACGCGACTTAACGCGGGGTGGCACATCCTCTGCTTCGGTGATGCCGGCTGGTGCACTCATCGGGACCACAGTTCCGCCGCGTCCTCGACGGTGCCAGTCTCCGCGTCCCTGTGTCCCTGATCCTCCACGGCCCCCTCCGATGCCGTTTTGATCTTGAACAAGAGGGATTTCGCGTCCGAGACGGTAAGGCCCGGTACATTCCCTCTCAGTGCCATGGCGGCGCGAAGCGGGGAGAGCTGGAAATCCTCTGCAATGAAGGGCACATTGTATTTCAAAACACCGTTCGCAAAGTTTCCGGTTGTTCTCGGCACGGCACGGGGACATCACCGCCCCACGTCTCTGGCACGGACTCACGCTTTTCTCTCTGTGATCAACAATCTAAATCTCTCACCTCGGAACAGTTCCCATGCTTAACCAACGGAGTAGACGCCGAGAACTTCTTCGAATTGACGACACACAGCATCCACCCGTTCATCATGCCCGTCCAGCACATCGTGGAGACACGTCGCGAGAGCTGCGACATCCGACTATAGACACAGCAGAGAATTGAATAAACCCCGAGTGAAGGCGAATGGCTGCAAGTGCACCATGGCGCATTTGCATGGTTGGAGGCCACAAAGCAAGAAAGGACATACCGCGTCATTTGGACTTCGTGTCAGCTGGTCTCGAGGGTCTCCATCTTCCGCAGTGTCCTCCAGGGCGACATCTATAGCGGCCATTTACTCGCCACTCCTACCCGAAAGTAACCTATCTTCTATGTAATCAACGCTAAACGCTGAAGTTGGGTAGGCATGTAATACTATTGTAAGATTATCGACTGTGATACGCTCACAACCCATACTTACATGCGCACCAAACTCTTGTTGTACGGAAGCGTGGTGTATGCATTAATTCGTGACAGTGCGCGGCGCTGGAAGTGCTTTTGGTATACTTATACATCTCTATGCCGTTGTTGAGCAATATCTAAGGCGTGATCCTTTTAAAAAGCTGAAGGTATTTAGACAGTAGGGAAGCATTTCTAAAAATCTCGGTAAACCATTGTAATAAGTATGCTAGTTTATATTATCACCATAGGTTCTTGTGTCGAACGGTGCTAAATGAACCATGGTGCATGCATGGAGGTATTCGGGGCGGAGAAGTCTCCGGCCTCTGCTATGGAAGTCCTGGAGAAACGTCAGCTTGATTGCAGAGTCTGTGGACGCCAGCACACGATTCACTTGTGTTGCTGTGGCCACCCAGCGCCATGCACGGTCCTGTACCCACAATTTTGTGTTCAGGTGCTTTGTGGCTTCGATGGATCTAGCTGTGGAGTTAAGTATGCGTCCTTCGCAGCCTTCGCACCGGCAGTGTTGGATACGGATGCCGGTATGCAGGCCATGTTTTCAGACCTGTTGTCGCAGCGCGGGCTTCGAAGCACGGCACCGTTGCCCGGTCCGTTACCCATGCCAGGCGCCCGTCCAGCGCGCCCCGCCTTCCTGCAACAACTAGCCGAGCATCGGCGCCGTGTTATCGGTGGGATGTCGTGCCCTGGACTGCACGATGAATGTTACGCCTGCCTATACGGCTGTTCCCAGGCGGGTGTGTTGGGGCCGCGGGACATTGTGTAACAGCCGTCTCTTACCTTAGCTGTTTTAGCGGAAGTAGAGGGTCTCGTCCACGATTGGCGACCCAGCGTTAGGCGTGAGAAGAGACAAGGGAAGTCGGGATTCGAAGACATACGTCGAGAACGGTGACAGCAAGGTCTTGAACCCTGAACACTAGTATAGTGATACGTTAAGTGTCTGGCCGAAGCACTTCACCTGGGTGGCTTAAATGCGGCCCACCTGCCGCCATCTCCATTCCTGGAGTCTTGGTGCCGTACGCTAGGTTGTGATAGCGTACCAGAAAGTGAGTTCGTACAGTTAACGAGTATGGTTCGTAAATACGGGACCGTACCATTACTGTGATTAAGCTTTAATAGCTTAAAGATATTCTAAGGTAAATGTAGCTTGCTACATCCCTCCCCCTCAGAAGCGAACCGTCCCGGGAGCGTCACCTTTTCTTGCGAGCAGGTGCTTTCCGTTTCGGTTGTTCTGGGGTGCTGTTCCGGGGTGCTACCGAAGGAGGGGTGGTCAGGACCACTTTCCTTTTTGGTGTAGGTTGCCCGGACTTTGCCGCCAACCGTCGTTCATAGTCGTCAATAGCTTCGGCCAAGGGAACGGATTGACGCAGGGAATCTTCCGGTTCATAGGTGTTATGACTGGAGTCATAGCCTTCCCATTTAACCAGATATTCTCGACGTGTTTTGCCG